AATTTCAATTTAAATTTTCCGCTATATTGTGCTTTCGCCAAAGGTTGTTGTTGGCGTCCAAAAAAGTCTGATGCTTCTAGTAAATCATATTCTCAAAATGGCCGCGATGTTGAAACCAAGTGCGGAGTATAATCGAAGAGCCGCGATCGAAGATCTTCGCGCTGAGCGCTCAGCAACGGAAATAATTTGGTTCTTTGGATATCAAGATCAACCATTGATGAGCATTGTGGCAAAATATATGACTTTAGAACAATGAAGGTTCCAGTATGCTGCCAGCGAGGAAGAATCATTCGAAAGAACGCACCGCAAGAATCCTCGCAGTCGTTGAAAGGGTCATCAGCGCTCAAAGCGCTGATGTCGGATAACAATTGTTGTCCAGGGCAATTGCAAAAATTAACATCGATTGTTGGTGTAAGCGAGCAACAATGCGTTGAATTGTCGAGGAAGATCTTTGATACAAATCGTATACATTAAAGATACGACAGAGGCTACCAGGACAAGCCAAGTTGCTCGCCTCGGTTTTCATTCCCAACAGCTCAGATTTAAATCCTTTGGACGCTATGAAGCGTAATTGAAAGGGTCACAAATAACTCTCGGCATCCCAATGTGACGTCATTAAGGACCGCTATTGAGGCAGCATTCGTTGGCAGCGCTATATTAGCGTGCGTGCGAACGCTTCGGACCGAGAATAGAGACCGTCATTCAAGCTAATGTAGAATATCGAATAATTGTGCTCTACAGGGATCTCCCAAGTGCCATGTAAAAGGATTTTTTATAATATTTAATTTTTCATTAAAAACATTTTGTTTAAAGAAATTGTTCGATTTCTGGATTTTGGTAACACATCCTGTACATAGTTATTATTATTATTATTATTATTACAGCAATAATAATCATAATTACAATAATATATAATTATAGTTACATATACCAAACATCTTTCTCTCAGTATATCAACTTTTCCGTCAACATCTAATGCTGTTCAGGAACACTATCGGGTACTATCAAGTGTACTATCAAGTGCAAAAATGGCTATGAGCTCAATCTTGAAGACTGGGGATGGATAATAATAACAAATATTTTGGAACCAATTCAAATTTTGTTCCTTCCCAGATATTTTGTTAAATTTGATTTTTTGCAATTGCTCCAAAAGTTGTGAAGTAAACTGTGACTGCAGGAAAATTGGCTTGCATTGATCAGTATTGTGTTGTAATGTCTAGTCTTTAATTAGATTAAGTCCACAGGCGAATCATATTTAAAAAAAACGCGCCTAATACTTCTATAATGTGGAAAGAGGTGCATTACGTTTTGGGAGCATAACTCTTCAAACTTCGAAGCCGTATATGAAATGGTTGCTTCTACGAAAAAAAACTCGTGGGATTTCTTTTGTAATGAATTTCCTCGTTTATAAATGTTGTAATAACTTTTTGTACTAGAACTAATTTCAAGATAAATTTCGCGAAAATCATTCTTTTTTACATTTGATTCTCTAAAATTTTTCTCTAAAAGCATTGACATCGATGAGGACTTTTGAGACATTGTTTAGAACGACGAAATAAAGGTGCATGCAAAAATTCACCTAGCTATTAATTTTTCTACAGATTTGCTCCATTTTTGTCTAATTTCGCTGAACTATCACGTGCAATGCTGATCTGCTGGTTAGTATTAGGTGTACAACTTTGCTTCCGCCGTTTTCCTATAGATGGCTTTAGCGGTAAGTGGTGGTCGAAATAAATAGATCATAGACGTCATACAATAAACTTGGGCATCTGTCAACATAACCCCATAGAAACATTAGTCGATTTGTGTCTGCATCATAAAGTTATTCTCGATTGAAAATGTAAGTTTACGAGCCAAATTCTCGTCATTTGCGGGAGGTTTTAATTTTTTGCTTCAATATGAAGAAATCTGCGGCTGAGGCTCATCGAATGTTCTCAAATACTTATGGTGAGGCCGCTATTAGTGAAAGAACGTGTCGTGAATGGTTTCAACGCTTCAAGAATGGTGATTTTGACGTCCAAGATCATGTTCTGTATTTGGTGGGACCAGCTCGGCGTAGTGTATTATGAACTGTTAAAACCGACTGAAACAATCACAGGCGATCGGTATCGAACGCAATTGATGCGTTTGAGCCGAGCATTGAAAGACAAACGGCCGCAATACAACGAGAGACACGATAAAGTGATTTTGCATGACAATGCTCGACCCTATGTTGCGAAAGTGGTCAAGACATACTTGGAAACGTTGAAATGGGAAGTCCTACCCCACTCGCCGTATTCTCCAGACGTTGCTCCCTCTGACTATCACTTGTTTCGATCAATGGCACACGGCCTGGCTGACCAGCACTTCCGGTCTTATGAAGAAGTAAAAAATTGGATCGATTCGTGGATAGCCTCAAAAGATGACCAGTTTTTTCGACGCGGGATTCGTACGCTACCCGAAAGATGGGAGAAAGTAGTGGCCAGGGATGGACAATACTTTGAATCATAAATGTATAACCAGTTTTTTACAATGAAGCCTCGAATTTCGGTAAAAAAACGGCGGAAGCAAAGTTGTACACCTAATAAATAGAGGATATAAAGTCAAAAGCGAGGGCAAGTCAATAAGTTTTTAGAAAAACATAGTAAAATACATTTTTTTTATCGATTCATTTTTATTTCTCAACATAATCTCCTTTCAACTCGACACTTGATCCAATGATTCTTCAACTTTTTCAAGCCGTTTGAATAATGATTTGTCCAACTCTTCAAAATAAGCTTCTGTTTCAGTGATGAGCTCTCTGGTGGATTTCTTTCCTCCGAATCATTTCAGATTTGGAAACAAGAAATAATCGCAGGGGACTAAATCTGGTAAATATGTTGGATGGAGAAGCAATTCGTAGCGGAATTTGTTGAGTTTGGCCATTGGTGCCGGGCACGTGTGAATCCATACATTGTCTTGATGGAAGAGCACTTTTTTCTTCGCCAAATGAGGACGTTTTTTTTTTAAAATATTGTTGAAATCCAATAAGCCTGCGTAATGATCGCCATTGATCGTTTGCTTTGACGGAAAATAATCGAATTATACTGTGTATCCCAAAAAATTATGGCTATCATCTTCCCGGCCGACTTTACGGTCTTTGCCTTCTTCGGAACTGGATGAAGTTCATTGTTTTGACTTCGCCTCGGGTGTGAAGTAATAGATCCATGTTTCGTCCACAGTAATGAATCGAGGCAGAAATTCATCTGGATTACGTTGAAACATTTCCAAACATTGTTTTGAAATTGTCACACAGTCGTGCTTATGTTCCACAATGAGCAAACGCGGCACCCATCTTGCCGATAGTTTTTCATACTCAATTGTTCGTGCAAAATTGAAATCACTGTGTCATGTGACTATGTCACTATGTCTGTGGCCTCAACGAGCTCGCGCACTTTCATTCGTCAATCAGTCAAAACAATATCGTGGACTTTATCGTTCATTTCTGGTGTAGCAGCCTCAATTGGACGTCCCGAACGAGGTGCATCACATATGGATGTATGTACGTTTAAATTCATTCACCCAATTGTATACAGTCACAAACGCTGGTGACAGATATGCTATGAACATTATTCAATTTGGCTTTGATTTCTTTAGGCGTTAAACCTTTCATGTAAATGATGATTTGATCATTGCACGAAACTCGTTTTTTTCTATTTTGCAAAAAATACAAAGTTGTTCGCTTTAATCGTCTATAGAAATGAAACCACGTGATGAATTCGCTCAAAAATTTAACAATAATCAATTGAGAGATGCTACTTATCAAAAAGTAATGATATGATACACTGCTCTCTGAGATTTTCTAGGAATTTATTGATTTGCCTCATATCTATCGAAAAAACGAATGGTACATTTCTCAACTAGCCGATGAACATGACAATAATGACGTATCTTAAAAATCAGGAAATAAGTTTCGACACATTCAAGTTTTGCGTCACAATATCTCCGCTCATGTGGCACGAGAAAAAATAAAAACACTTTTATTATATATTCCGAGCGATGCAATCGATTGAGCATACTTAGAACTTAATCGATTCAGCCTTTATTGAGATCTAATCTCAATCCCCCACAACTCGCTGGCTCGCGTGAAGGAACATGATAGTGTTACTGCACTTATCTTAGCACCGAAACACTAATGTGTCTCTTGATAGTGGTGTCAATATGTAAATCGTAAATCACTTGTTTGTATCGTAAACCGTACGTGTGTAAGTCGCATTTGATCGGTAAGACAACTTCAGCATCCCCTTAAATTCTTCCATATGAGTTAAATGACATTTACACGTAAGTGGAGATTCCAGAGGTGAAGAGAGAGCCAGATCTTATTCTTTTTGTCTAGAAGTGAAAGAGAAAGAGAAACGAGACTATAGTCGATTTCATTTAAAAGGGTAAAAACGATGGGCAGCACATATTCATAAACAATGTCTGAGTACCGTGGACTTGAAACAAGTGTAGATAACTTAGGACAGCATGTATTTTTGTTAAATTCAATCATGAACGATTAAATTTAATAAAAATATGCGCTGTCTCAAGTCATCCACATTTACGGTACCCAGTAATTAAAAAAGATATCATCTAAAGCGCACGGAGATATTTTTTCCGCGCCATATATCGCCTTTGGTCTATATATCTCTCGGTGATTGGAAAAAAATGAAATTTTTTTTAACAAAAAAAAATGAGATATGCAGTATTTTATTTCATTGACGTTAAATCTGTGCTTTCGAGTCATTTTCTTTTAATAATCAGTTTATATATCTGGTCACATCACAGTTAGTTGTTTTACATGAAAAGGATAAATGATGAGAGAATAGAGTGTGGGAGCTCGATTTATGCGAGAGACATCGTTTTATATTATAAAACGATAAGTTAAAAGTCGAAGATAATGTTAGGAGATAAGTTTTGGCACACGTGCGATGATGATGTCATTCCATCATTTTCTCGATGTTTAACGGGCTATAATAACAATGCATTTTTCTCTTTCACAGGGTCGGCACACCAAAACCGGTCAGCTGGCAGCCATCAAGGTCATGGATGTCACGGAGGCAAGTATTCGATTAGACAGCGACGATGTGTGGTTTAATTATCCTTTTGGGAAGTTCAACGATACGGGAACTGTTGGCTTCACTTCACTATTGTGGCACAAATTATAGACGCGATCATCTTGGAAGCGCGAAAGGTTTCGTGAGATAATGAAATAATGAGATGATGCATCATATTTGTATTGACGGGTCGAGTTAGCTTTGAGTAGTCTGCAGTAGTAGGCAATGTCTGCAGCCATAGGAAAAAATCAACTTCTTTTAAAATATGAAAAGAATAGTTTTAATGTCTGTCCTTGATTGCAAATAGAGCAAAGTTTTTTATCAGCCAAAGAGATGTGAATGCATACGAACCTATTCTGTATTCTTTATCGCGTATCATCAACATCAGCGAAAGACAAAGATTGTTTCTATGAATCTGCGAGCAATACTTGTACAATTTAATACTTGACGGTTTCCAGAATCTAGAATGAATAGATAATGTCAGAAATAGAAAGAAATGTATAGTTTTATAACGAACATACTCTTTCCAATTTGTTGATTAGGACAGTTTAATTCGATTTTCAATTATTTGACTATGTGCTTTCTAGTTGTTGACAACTAGAAAGTTCTAATCTTGACAACAGTGAATTTTATATTTTGTATTATAAGAAGATGACTACTCGGAATAAATTATTAGCACGTGTGCGCTTTTCTTTTATATCATTATTACATTTAGCTTATAAAAAAGTGATTTTACAGTTACACAGATATGAATTATCTCGTGATACTTATCTAATGGAATATTCTTAATAAAGATTTTCTTTACACTTGTTTCTTTATATCTAAAGTAAGAATATAGCATTAATATTATTATTATACTGCACTTTTAAGCGTTTCTTATCACGTAAATCGATTAAAGATAGGAATTTATTATTATACTGCACTTTTAAGCGTTTCTTATCACGTAAATCGATTAAAGATAGGAATTCAGCATTACGATTGTACACATTTCTTTCTCTTTCATTCTATTTTTCCGTGTCCTTTTCTTCTTTCTCTTCATATCTTTTCTTGTTTTTCTGAGTGTCCTCTTTTTTTTTCTCTCATAACGTATCTTATAATGCGTGTCATCGTGTAACCGCGAGTAAAGTTTCGATTCTATTTATCTACTTAATATATATCAGACTGCTTTTTTAGACAAAAGAATTTTATTTTTGGTGAAATGTCTAATCTGTTTGCCCTAATCATCATTGTATAAAGTTTTCGTACGATTACTGCGTACGCAGTCTGAGTATATGTATTTTTAAATCATGTCTTTTATACCTTTTATTATTAATATTATTTGTAGAAAGATTAATTAGAAACACAATTTTCTGATGACCTACTTATTAAATTTTACATAGAATTTATGTTAAGATAATAATTTATATAGTTCATTAACCTCTTTAATTTAAAAAACGTGAAACGACATACATTTTGCATGCGTGCGTGCGTGCGTTCGCGCGCGCGCGCGCGCGTGTGTGTGTGCGTGCATGCGTGCGTGCGTGCATGCGTGCATGCGTGCGTGCGTGCGTGCGTGCGTGCGTGCGTGCATGCGTGCGTGCGTGCGTGCGCGCGCGCGTCTGTGTGTGTGTATAAAGCTGGCGTATCATTGTACGGAAACTTATTAATTATTGTTCTGGCTTTATTTTCAATAGTTCTATAGTTCTAGATTAAATAAATAATTCTGTCCTTAAAGCGAAAAAAAGCGAGAAAAATTAAGACGCCAAGTTCGTCTCATTTCGTTCTACGCAAGCTTTGATTACAGATCCTTGTAGGATTTTAAAAGATACACAATTCTAGATGACTCTTTTAGAAAGAGTTCTGGCAGTAAATAATTTATTATTTCGATTTTTAATGATTTCCCCCCCCCCCCCCAAAAAAGATCACCTTTATAGGAATAAAAATGAGACACTGATCGATTTCCAATTGTTCCGTGAGATTTATGGTACTCGTAGGAGAAATTTGAATGTATCCTGTTTCATCAGGCCTTCTCGATGGGAATGGGAATCGAGTAATCAGTCTAGATAAAATAGTCTGTTTTCAACATACGCGAAAATTGCGTAAATGAATGTGCCCGATATTACTACGCTCTGCGTGCGCGTCACGTGATCCTTTCTCTATGCGCATATCTCGTCCGCTTTTGTGAACTTTTACATTCTAAAGGTTCGTTCACACAACACCTAACGCTTTCCGAAAAATTCTGACGACAATTCCCAGCTAATAAGGACCAAAATAATTGCCAGCACTGAAAATGCTACTGTTTACGTGCATTATAAATTTTCAATACTGGCAGTCAATTTTGGAACGCAACCAAGGATACATTAATATGACGTCATTTTTTCGGCCCGTAAACGTTGTTAATTATTTGTTATCGACATCATTTAGATTATGACATGATTATGTCAGTCTATACTTGACGTCATTATTATTACATCATAATGACATCGATAATTGACTTGGTAAAAGTGACATTTACCAAGCTGACGTTGTTTATCATCATTTTGATGTCAAAATCATCTAAAAATGACAAATAGTTCAAGGCGATAAAACAACTAGGCATGCTTATCGAGCGATTGCATATGATTGATTGGATCTATAAGTAACAACCATATGTTCATTTGCTCGACGAATAAGCTAACTGCTTTGTCAACTTGATTACGCCTAATGTGTGAGCTTGTTTACTCGATTTTTAAATTTATCAGTTTCGTACTTTATAAATCTAGTGACTTTGCAATTAAGTAGCATAGTAGCGTTTGTAGCGTAATATGGGGTCTACAATAGAAGTTGTAGCGGTAGTAGAGATTTAAGTCATAGAAAGTAAGATTTAAGTCATAGAAAATTCACTCATCAAATCATAGTCGATTATTTTTCTCATATTGGACTGTAATGGTTAATTTTCTATGACTTAAGACACTACGACCATTTCGATTTCTATTGTAGATCCCGCATAAAACGCTATATATACATTTTTTCAATGCTTTTTTAGTGCTTTTTTTTAGTGTAGGCGCTATGTGCTATTTAGGAATAAAGTTCTAGATACTAAAATAGCGCAAACGTTCCTCCATCTTCGATTTACCTAACCATAGCATATCAAAGTACAATCTTTTTTTCTTACTCGAAAGTCTTACTAGAAACATAAATTCTAAAAATAAATGAGTAAAAAGTATGTGTCGATTTAATATATATTATACAACAAATGTTAATTTTATTGAAGAAATATGTTCTGTACAACTAGTTAATATTTTATATGTGAAAAGGTACAGATATTTTGTGTTATTTTCTCTTTGTAAACATCAGTAAATGATTTAACAGTAAATATCTGTATATTGCATGTTTTAAATATCACAGAGGCATCGCCTAAATTAAAAATATAAAAATAGCATCTAATTTCAATTAAATTTAACATTATAAATGCCTCAATTTAATATAAAATTTGTTTTTATTGGGAGTACAAATTAGTTCGGTCCGTTTCCCTAAAAATTCTCCGGACATTGCTCTTTCTGATTATTGGTTGTTCCGAAGGATGCAGCAAGTCATCGGTTCACTTCTTTCGCAAAAATCGAAAATTGGATCCAAAATTGGATCGCCTCCAAAGACGAGTCATTTTTTCGAGATGGAATTCGAAAATTGCCTGATGGGAAAAAGTAGTAAGCAGCGATGGACAATACTTCAATTGATCTGTTCATTCATTTTATTTTGAAATAAATGCACAAAAAAACGGACCGAACTAATTTGTACTCCCAATAATTGTGTCAAAGTATTGCGCTTCTTGTGTTAATTTTTTCATAATATTTGTGTTACTTTTTAACATATTCATCTTATGTTAAATTAACATAAAAATTTGAG